AGTTTACTATCACAGTTCGACATCCAATTATAGATGAAAAATAATGAAAAAAGAAACAAGTTCATATACTGATTAAAAACGAGCTACATTCAACGTACTACCCTTATAAAAAAAAATTATTTAAAAATCACAAAACACAATCGATTTTTAATCGATTAAATATGAATGTTTTTGTAATTTTTAAAAAGGTTTTTTTTAAATGGGTACGTCTAACAACTATTTAAGAACAACATACAAGAGGAAAATTCTTCTTTACAGACCTATTTGAGGTTCATTAAAATTTTTTGTTGAAGAGATTGATGTTGCATCATTATTATCATCTAATGTTGTTGTAGTTATTTGTTTTGTAGTTCCGAATCTGCAAAAAGAACAATTTGATACATCAATAACTTTAACAAAAAACTCACAATAGCTTTTTCCTATGTACGAGTTCTCATTGTTGATTTTCTCGAATTATCCTTCCTTCATAATCTCAAAAACCATCGACTTTATCATCATTGTCCTTGAAAAAACAAACTTGAATAGCTTCTAAAATTGTTAATGAACATAATGGAAAAGATCGTATGATGTAGACTGCGTACCTTTAATTTTTTATATTCTTTTATTAATTTTTTCATGTTCACCATTGATTATCTTTTCTTTTCTGAATAATTCGTTTATCAGACATTTCATCAGATGAGCAAATGTTGGACCTATTGGACCAACCAATATGGTTCGATCATCATGATTCTATAATATGAGAATGATTAGCTCAATAATCACATAAGAAGTTACAATGATAGGAAGTTCAGTAGGTGAATCATCTGATGTTAGATACTAAAATATAAATAGAATTTTATTCAAATTTTTAAATTAAATGATACTCTTTCATATCTAACGTGTGAATCATGAATTCTAACTATAAATATTTATTTGATAATCAAAACAATATTTAAAAAAAACAATTTAACTGGAAGTGAATGAGATTACCTTATGAAATTGACGAATAAAGTCGCCAATGCGCCTGTCAATATTATCAAGTTCTTTTTCAAAAGCATCTTCCTTCTTGTTTACTGCATCAATCTTCCGGTTAATTTCTTTGAGCATACTTTGTAATATGTTCAATTGTTCTTTGAATGAATCAGAACAAGAAGATTTTGCTTGCTCTTCTATCCGTTTACGTTTTATTTGTGGGATGTAGTAAGTATCTTGGCAGTAGTAAATTTTAATAATATATAGATATTAGTTTATTAGTACTTTTATTATGATTCTGATGATGAACGGATGATTATCGTTGTTGTTGATTATATAATTTAATATCTAAAACGATCGGAAAATCTGTGACAAAATCAATACTTATTATATAAGTCTAATATTAATGTATGTTGCTTAGTTTCATCAAAATCATTTTCATCAATATCGAAATTATTTTCATCATTAGCGAATAGCATGTGGGTGTTTGAAATACCAGCTGAAAATTTTCGTAATCGACCAGGTGTTGTTGAACTATTAATATAATTCGACATGATTTTTAATCTAAAACAAACATATGATGCTAGAATCATAGGAACAAAATTAAGTAAGATTTGTACTTGTTTGAATTAGCTGAATATTTTGTTAGAAAGAGTGAGCATCTAGAAGAAAGGCAGAAAATATTTGATCAAGGTCTTACAAACATTCAATCATGTTCTGTTTCAATTTCAATTTCTGTACATGCAGAGAATTCATTATCAAGGAGAAAAAATATGCACTTGTATAGATTGTAAGTTGAATAACTCCGACTAGGAAGTAGCTAAAGCCCTACGGTTTTCAGTTTTGGAAAGAGTGGCACCAACTTTATATGGAAATATAAAAAAAGAATCGACATCACACCCAGTCTCGAGATTGCCTATCTGTGAAATTTTAGCAATTCACCAAAGTGATGAAAATCCGTTTGGTATTGAATTTTTTTGACGTAGATTTGGTAAGGTAGACTATTGTCTACTATTTGCCACCAACCTCAGATTTCTAGCTTTTACTATTAGGGAGTTATGGCCGTTTCACTAAATTTTGGGTCTGTGACATGGAATTTCCGAAAAAATCAAATTCAAGAATTTCGATCTGAAATTGTGCCCATAGATAGGTCTACTAGTCATTAGAATCGTCTGAAAGTTTGAGCCAAAACGAATGTTTCTTTCTCGATATATTGAATTTTCAAGAAATAAATCACTTTTCACAGGCAGATAACATAAATCGAATTTATTTGAAAATCACAGATAGACAATTTCGAGACTCAGTGCAACAGCGCTTTTTTCATATTTCCATATAAAGTCGATGCCGCTCTTTTCAAAACTGAAAATCGCAGGTCTCTAGCTACTTCCTAGCCAGAGTTATTCAACTTACAACGGAGTGCACTGTTCATTCAAATGGATATTGGATGTCAAACGACGCACAATTTAATAGTCCTTATCAAGATACATTGACCAATTCAGAATCACTTCCATCGACTTCAGAAAAGACAAAAACTTATTTCTCGAATAATGATATCGCTTAAAGAAAAAAAAGTATTTGCCCATAGCATAGACGTGAACTTGTATCATCATTATCAGTTTTCACGCACACATTATACCTGGCACATTTATTGTGACGATTGTACACCAGTGAATGATAAAGTAATAATCTACGTTGATATCGAGAATACTACTTAAACGATGAATCAGGAAATTCGCCGAACATCTGGTTATAAATCAATGCAAATCCTTGTTGTTAATTGTGCATAATGTTCCCATCCAAAAATGCATCAACAACAAGCTGTTCATTAATAAACAACTTAGGATCATATTGCACTTGTCTTGAACGAATATGACCAAATACAAACCACCAAAAACATATTTTTTGACCGTGAACGACGGCTCCATGCGCTAAGTTTGCAAAGTGGTGCAAGTAACTTTCGGAAACAAATAAACCGAAGAAAAAAAA